CAGGCCCAGCTCCAGGAGTAGGAGAGCAAACACCACCCACCCCCTGCAAGTCTTTCCCTACTGCTTTCCCCTTACCCAAGCTGGGTCCTGGCAGATTTTTTTTTCTTTTTGGATAGGGAGGGAAAATAATAATAATAACAAAAAGAACTAACACTTACATAGTGCCTTCTCAAAGGCAGATGCTGTTCTAAGTGCTATGCATGTACAGTGGCCCCCTCTTAGCTGTGAAGGGATATGTTTCAAGATGCCCTGTGGATGTTTGAAACCTCTATATGCCATGTTTTTTCCTGTACATATGGACCTGTGTAAAATTCACGTAACATAAACTTAGTGTTAGAGTGTACAGTTCAGTGACACTTAGTGCATCCACAGTGCTGTGCGACCACCACCCCTGTCCAGTTCCAAAATGTTTCATCACCCCAAAAGGAAAACTGTACCCACTAAGCAGTTGCTCCTCATATCCTTTCCCCCTGACCTCTGGCAACCACCAATCTGCTTTCTGTTTCTATAGCTTTACCTCTTTTGGACATTTCATATAGATGGAATTATATAACATGTGGCCTTTCGTGCCTGGCTTCTTTCACTTAGCGTAGTGTTTTCTACGCTAAGGAACGTCAATGCTTCGCTCCTTTCTTATGGCTGAATAACATTCCATGCTATGGATACACCACACTTGTTTATCCGGGCAGGGATTCTAAAAGAGCCATTCCAAGGGCCTAACAAGTCTGCTGCCAACATAAAGGCAGAACTCAAAAATCTCACCCTATTATAGTCAAGAGAAATTCAGAGAAGAAACCTGCTATAAGAGAACAGGCCGGCTAGGATCAGAAGCTGAAAACTCAACAACCTGCTGTAACTGCGTAGATGAGTGAGAAGGGCTGGGAGGCAGGGGCAGGGAGGGTCAGTGGCCACCTGCCGGGCCTTAGAGCATTCATATTCAAAACTACTTAAGAAAACGCTGTGCTGTCCAAACAGAACCTTCCATGGGCCAGCTTCAGACACTGTTCTATTTGTAATCCCAGCTGAGCATTCTGGAAAACAATGGCACCAGCTCCTTTTGGCATAAAATATCCACTAATGCAAAAATAATAATAATAAAAGAGTTGGCAAATTGAATTCCAAAGTCCAACAGAGAGGTGAAGTGGGTTCCCAAACATTAAATAAGTCCCAAATGTTACAGGTACTACAACCAGTCAGATAAGACTGAGTGCTGACTCTGCTGTGGATTAAAGACAGCCTTAATACCTGGCCCAGGGATGGTTTTAGAGAATTAGACCTCTAGCTCTGATTCAGCTGACAGAGAAATTACTAATCCTTCATTTCCATAACCTTTCAGGAGGTTTTAACTGTAGGATTTGGAATTGTGGGTGACAGTCCCAGAGGATGAAAGGGTGACTCGTGGAACCGAGAGTCAAACAAGCAAAAAATGTTGAATTTTTACAAGAAGTTAGAGTCCTGTCTTGTAAAATTGGTTTCTTTATCCCGTGACATTCCAGGGGAACGGATTTGGAGTGTTAACCAGTGTTTAGCCCTGTGGTTCTCCAGTTTACCGTCATAAATCACCTGGGGAGCTTGTTAAAATCACAGATTCCAGGGCCCCACCTCCAGGAAACTGACTTCAGGGGCTCTCCTGAGGGCCCAGGGAATCTGCATTTTACCAGGCTGCTGGACAGGTGGTCCAAAAGTCACACTTGGATAAACCCCAATCTAGTGACCCCAATCTAAGTTTATTGCTCAATCTGAAATTGTACCTGTTGAATCAGAGTCTAGATTCTACCACTTGTCCAAATCGCTGAGCCTGCTTAGAGAATTCAACTGGCCTAAAATAGAATACATGTTTCTTTTGTTTATTCATTCACTCAGTGAGTATTAATTAAGGATCGGCTGTCCCTGCAGGTATATCTGTAGATAAGACAGATATGACTCTCGCTTCTTATAGAACTTATATTCTAGTCAAGATCATTGGATAGGGGTAAATTATTTTTCCATTCAGAGAAGCCTTTTAAGATGGAAACATAAAATCTCCATGGTTGGGAGGGATAGTAAATGTTCATTAGTGTCACTACCACATGATGCATCTCAACAATACTCCATGTGTGCTTTAATACTTCCAGAGACAGGAAGCTCACTTGTAGAAGGAGCCCATTCAAACTTCAGACATTAAAATTTCCTTCCCTGGAACTTTTGCCCTTGGTCCTTGTTCTCCTTTATAAGACATGATGAACAAATTAATCTCTCTTCCCACAGAAAAGCATTAAAATATTCAAAACATTTTTTCACCCTTCTATTATGGTTACCATCATCCTCTGGGTACCTATCACTGTGTCTTTTTTTTTTTTTTTTAATACAAAGGTAGATGGAATATTATGCAGCTGTAAAAAAGAAAGACCTCTTACCCTTTAAGACGACATGGAGGGACCTGGAAAGCATTGTGCTAAGTGAAATAAGCCAGCCTGGAAAGCATTGGGCTAAGTGAAATAAGCCAGTTAGAGAAAAGACGAATATCACATGATCTCACTTATTTGTGGAATATAATAGACAAAATAAACTGACCAGCAAAATAGATCCAGAGACATGGAAGTAGGGAACAGACTGACAAGCCTCAGAGGGAAGGGAGGTGGGGGGAGGAGAGAGATAAACCAAAAAACTTACATTCATATATGCATAACAGATGGACACAGACAACAGTATGTTGAAGGCAGGGGGTGGGGACAGGATTGGGGAGGAAGGTGTCAATGGGGTAAAAAGGAGGGACATCTGTAATATTTTCAACAATAAAGATAATTTTTTTAAAAAAATACAAATGTAGATCCAACCCGTCATTTTCTTATTAAACCAGTCTATTTCTTTATTAAACTCACATAAGCCAGGTACTGTTTTAGGCTCTGGGAATAAAGCCTAGAAGAGAATAACCTCCCTTCACTGTAGATGTTGCCTTTCTATCAATGTCACATTGTAAAGCTATTGACTAAAGGCAAAAGTTCAACAGACTATAATTTTATAAGGTCTTCATGAACAAATCATCTTTTCTTACCCTCATTTATCTAAGTTTATTGCTATCTACCAACAAATTCCTCCCCTCTTTAATTTAAATGACATTCTGCCAACTCCCAAATGTCTTTTTTTTTTCTTTCCATTTTCAGTTATATTTTCTTTCTCCCTTTGATTCACCCCTCACATCTCATAAACCTGCTTCCCTGTGTGCAGAGTGCTGAAGCCATTTGTGGCTCCGCTTTATTTCAGAACAGACATGTCAGTGGCATGGAGAGAACATCTTATCTGATGCCCTCCCTTTACATGTGATTTCCCCGCGTGACAACTTATGCCTGACCTTTTACCTTGCCTTTACCTCTTATGCTTAATCTCGTGACCTTAGACATCTGTGTCTACCTCATCCATTTCCTACAGTGACCTGTAACATATGCTTCCTGCCAGAGCCTCAGTGGTAAACAACTCCTGGTAGATTCAGCAGCAACTCAAAGAGGACCCGGAAATGCTCTCTCTAACTCCCCAAAGCAAGGATCCCCACCCACCACTTGGTGGTGGACACACCCTGAGGTTTCTGGATCAAGCCACAGACCCAGAGTCCCCCTACTGGGCTCTGAGAGCCACTGCACTTTACATAGAAGGAATTCAACTTGTGTTGAATCATTAGGGAACACCCAAGAACATCAGCAAACAAGAATCTAAAATCCCTATTCTGCAAATGACAAAATGGTCCTAGAATTAGAGTTTTGGAGATGAAAATAATTCAAGACCATCCAGATCCCACCTCATCATATTATTCAGATGAAGAAACTGGTTCCCATAAAGAGGAGGTGTTAGGGCTGAGCAGAAACAAGAACCCAGGGCCCCTTATTTCAGGCCCATCCTCTCTTTATCACACTTTTGGGTCTGATTTTTCAACCTTAAACCAATCTGCTGTCACTTAGCCAGTATTCCAGTCCTGGGGTTCCAGGCAATAAACCCTAATGGTGAGTATATCCTAAAAACAAAGGCAGACGAACAAATGCCATCTGGGTGCTCAGGAATCCAGCCATTTGCTGGCTCCTTTCCTTTTAGAGCTGGTTGCAAGAGGAATGGCACCAGTGGGATAATATGTTCCTATTTTTTTCTTCTAATCCAGGACATCTGTCCCTTCTTTGGGGAATGTGTAATATTTAGGGCTCCTTCTCAACATGTGACCAGCCACCTGTTGCTCATGCCTTTCCAAATTGGCCTCTCAGTCTGAGGTTGGCCAACTGGCTCCCCACCCACAATTAAATGCAATATACTAAATTTGAAGAGTCTGGAGTCTCTCTGGAATTAGCAGGTCAAGGCACTGCTCTTAAGCAGGATATACATCACAGCACTTCCCCTTAAATGTGATAGCTCTAGTAGACTGTCATGGGTCTTTGAAGAGAAAGGAAGGCTGGAGTTCACAACAGTCTGTCACTTCATTTCACCTCCACTGACATTCATTCACTCAGCATACATTTATTGACCACCTGCTATGTGTCACTCACTGCCAATCATCCACTCATCTATTCACCCCACAAACATGTATGGAGACTCCGCTGAGAGCAAAGTTCCATGCTGGATGCCATGGGAGATCCAGCAATGAATAAAGCCCAGCTCCTGCCCAGAGGAGCTCCTAATTGAGTTGGGGTGCTAAATCCACAAGCTACTGGGATTTAAGGCCATATGTGCTGAGAGAGACACAAAGAACTATGGATCACAGAGGAGAGAGAAGTCACTCTGAGCTGGCAGGTAAGAAAGTTTGCAAGAAGCTGTCCTGTGAAGCTGGACCTTGAGGAATGGGTAGGATTTGGAGGGGCAGAAAGAATGTGTGGCTGGTTGAATCCATACAGCAGCAGAGAGCCAGGAACGGCAGAGGTCTTCCTGGCTGCTGTGTAGGGCGCATATGCTGTTGAGGGAGTGAATGGAGGTGGGGGAGGGAGAGACTCCAACGTTGGTAGGTGTGAAAAGTCTGAGCCGTTGTTATTTTCCTGGCCTCCTAGGTTCTGAGGTTTGGCACCCAATCTGCAAACAGGCAGCCCGGGCAGAGAAGAAGTTAAAGGTAAGCAAGCCCAGCTAACCTGTCACAGGTTGTGAGCACTAGGTTTTAGTAGAAAGGCATTTCTTAGTGTGCACGCTCCCAAATGTGCGTGTGTACCCTTGGATTTCCACAATGGAAACACCTACCTCATGGGGCTTTTGGCAGGATTAAGACATTGGGTGTGAGAGCACTTTGAAAACTGTATGGCAGTGTCTTGATGTGAGTTTTTAAGTGTTTCTGGGGTGAGGCTATACCCTAACCATTGCTAACCAAGATGGCAGCCTCTCTGAGGTACCCCAGCCTAAGGCCATTTATTAATGATAATAGTTAATATTGTCACAGGGATTGAGAGTTTGCAAAGGATCTTCACAGGTACTATCTGATTTGATTTCTTTAACCCCTTGGGGCAGGTGGGGCAAGGGATTTTATCTTTGCTTTGCTTGTAAGAAGACCAAGGTCTAAAGAGGGCAATGCTCTGCCCACAATAATGCAGGCAGGCAGAAGCAGAGCAGCCTCCAGGCCCATGCTGGACCAGCTGAGGTCCTGCGTCCCTCAGATACTGTGAATCGGGGTTCTTGATCCAAGACCTGCGGGGAGGGGCCCAGTTCCTGGGTCCTTGATGCAGTGGGGCAGATCCCTGGCCTGTGTGTTGGGGGATACTCAATAATCTCCAAGATGCCCCTACACTCTGGCCCTCAGATAGCAACCTAGTCCCTTGGGACTGTATTAAAAGTTACTGCTAGAGTCTCAGCTAAAAACACGTGTACAGTTTCTGACCAGCTAATGAAATGTTGTCTCCTTTGCCATCTCATCCATCTAACGTAAGTTTGGGGAAAGAGAGGCTTTATTGATGTATAATTTTTTAGAGCCATGAGGTGTTCTGTTTTTTTGTTTTGTTTTTTTTCTGTTTCTTCCAAGGCCTCTCTCTTTTGTAAGAAAACCTAATCGTCTTTTTCTACCCCGGTTTCCTCCTCTTTGGTGGCATTTCTCAAACTGCACTCATCCTTCTACAGCCCTGATGCTTGTTACCATATGTGTGAGCCACCTGTATCGTTATATACTCAATATTTTATTTTTCTTTAAATCAACTCACTACGTTTTACTTAGCTAAACTTATTTTAAAATAAAACTTAAATCACCAAGTGGAAAACCAGTATTACTTGCTAGAAATAGAAGGTAACCATAAAATAAATTCTATAAAAATGGAATAATGCTTAAGAATGCATCTTGGAAACTGGCTAGATCATGTTGCCTGCACTCTCTTTGTTAAAAGGGGGGGCATTGGGGGGAATAAGCAATTGTCAAAACAGTTGTTAAAATGTATTAGAACCAAATTAAGACTTCCTTCTTGATCTGAGAGGTTTAAAATAGAATTTTACATTTTACTTTCCCACTCTAGGACCCTGTATTGTCAAATGTTCTACCAAAATTTATCTCCCCAGAGCCACACTAGTTCACAGTCCACAGTTTGGGAAACACTGCTCTGTAGCCCCACATAGAATGCTTTAAACTATAGGTGAGAGATCTGAATGGGAATTTAGCAATCCCTAAAACCAACCCCTTCATTTTACAGATCAGGAGGAATTCAAGATCCCTAAAATCACGTGGTTCATTAGAGGTCCTTGGTTCCCAGTCCGTTTACTTTTTAACTGCACCACGTTGCCACTCTCTGAGGTGCACTGAGGTTGACACAGTGTTGTTCTGCTAAGGAAGCCGTCAGTCCATTATTGCCATTGTTTCAAGACAGATTTTTAAGTGTATCACTTAGACTGAGGTCAATTTGCAGTGGATATACTATAAACAATCAATATATTGTGCAATTACATAAAGTTTAACCTACTTATATATTTTGATAAGCAAACTACTAAGGAATGAGTACTAACCAATTTTATTCATTTTAAAGTAAATACATTATTGACTGGAATCACCCCAAATAAAAAGTTTTATGACTAACTTCTAATCTAAAAGGCCAGTTACAAATATGTTAAAAAAAAAATCTATATTTAGTCCAATAGCCTGAAATCCTGTGCATCTCTGATTTCATTCACAGTCAGACATTTATTTAAAAGACAAAAATAAAGCCCTGGCCAAGTGGCTGAGGTGGTTGGCGTGCCGTCCCATATGCTAAGAGTTTGCAAGTTCAATTCTCAGTCAGGGCACATACCTAGGTTGCAGGTTCAATCCCCAGTCAGGATGCTTATGGGAGGCAACAGATTGATGTTTCTCCTTCACATCAATGTTTCTCTCTCTCTCTCTCCCCCTTCTTCTCTCTCTCTAATATCAATTTAATTTTTTAAAATAAAAATAAAAGGCAGAAAATAAAGAGGAAGTACAGAAATAGCCAGAGAGTGCTTTTAATAGTATTGCTAATGTTCCCCAAAGAGCTGCATTCAGATACCCCGTCTCCCACTTCCCACCAAGTTGGCGGAGCAGCGACTCACCGCTTCTGCCTTCGTCTCTCCCACAGCACAGGCGGACGTCTGAAACTTCCATCTCACCGCCTGGATCTAGCATTGGGTCACCCAACCGAGTCATCTGCGTATGTATTGCTTCTCAGCCACGGAAAGGACTTTCTTATCCTCCAGCCTGGAATCTAAAGAGGGTCTAAGGGCAGTCAAAGACAGCTGTCAGGTTTTCATCCAACTGGTATACACTCTTATCTAGTTGGGCTGTCATGTGCTAGCCTCTGTGCTAGGTCCTGAGGACGCAGTGGGGGGCAGGCAGGACATGACCCCTTCTCTTGGGGAGCACACAGCTCAGTAAACACAGAGTTACAGGGGTAATATCGAGATCAGTAGAAACATAAGGGAATAAAGTGCAGCGACAGCAAGAGCCCTTGACGGGCTCTGAAGCCAGGGCAGTACACATCCCTCCCATTACTTAACTGAGACAGGGGTAAAAGGAAACATTGGGATTCGAGTACTATTCAGAGTGGGTATTGGATGGGATGTCAGTGTGGAGATAAAGAGGCAGAAAGGAGGAAGAAGCCATATGAATGTGGAAACACAGCTGTGAAGAATTTACAAACACAAAGAAGAGCTTTCTAATCGTGTGAGAAGTCCAGGGATGGAGCACACCTGGTGCATGTGTCTGAGCTTCCCTCCCTACAGGCATCACACAGAGACACTCATCATTGCCAGGGATGTGGCAAAGAGGACAAGAGTTGAGTTAGATGACCTCAGAGGTCCCTTGGATAAGTAATTTATTCATTTTTTTATTCATTCATTCATTCATTCAACAAATGCAGTGCTGAGTGTCGACTCCACTACGTGCTCTGCGCTGGGGAGATGACCTGATGAATGACCCTGAGTGCATAGTTTGTGGATAACCAGTTACAGTTCTGATAAGTGCTGGGAAGAGAAGGTGCACAGTTCTCTGACGATGCCGCAGGTGAACAGAGGGGCCTGACAGTCCAGGACCAGTTGGAAGAAGAATCCGAGGAAGAAACATTTAAGCTTAAACGTCAGAGATAAGCAGAAGTACAATAAAGGGGGTGGGGGAGGTAGAGCCAGAGAGGGTCACAACGAGCTGAGGATACTGACAGGAAGCAAACCTCAGTCTGGCTGACTCCAGACTCTTTTAGCCTTCAAGTCAAAGGAGCCAAGAAACAGAAATAGGAGGAGGGGTCTAGAGCAGGAAACCCTAATAAGAAGCTCTAGAGACCTGCCAGCCCTGGATGGGCCCTGCCCGTCATGCCCGATCACTGTTTTACTCCAAATCCACACCCAGTCTCCTCCTTGATCACTGGTAATACCCACTGATGGGACTGTTTCCTGTCCTTTCTTCCTCTGTTCAAATGGGGAAAAAGATGTAAGAGCAATCATTGACTGCAACTTCAATATGGGTCAATACTGCCCTGTGGCTCCCACAAAAGACAGGCGACTTTGATCACAGACCATACCCATTGACGGTTCCTGTCCAGACAAGAGAGATGATTGTCCCCCTGCTGCTATGAATGGGCCAGAATCCAGCAGGATTGATGAGCTAAGTGTCAGGGCCTACACCGTGAGACAGTTATCGACCAAAGTGGGGCTGTCTCCAGAAGAGAGTTACCGAGGTATGCGAGCTCCGGATACACAGAGCTGCACTGTAAGGCCGCTACTCCCTGGCTGGTCCCCCTGTGCTGAGGAGCCCTGCTAACGTTGTGAAATAAGCGAGGCCCTGGTGACATTCACCTGGAGGCCTGCAGCGTAGCTCATAGAGTTGCTCCTGTGAGATGCAGCTCGACTACAGATGAGCAACAGCCATTGGGGACACCTGCCATTGCACCCTCCAGCTGCGGGCTTCTACGCTGAGATCAGGTACCCCCACATCCCCGCGTGGGCATGTCTCCCTTTCTCCATTCTCCTACTCTCCCCTTCAGCTACTCTGGGGAATGACTGCACACCTGCAGGGAGCCACGTTTTAAGTCAGACTCCAAACATGGCTCCCAAATTCAGGGACGAAGCCATCCAGCCACTTTTGGGACAGGCAGTAACAGGCAGAAAGATAGAGAGAGTATTGGTTTAATTTTCATAAATGCTGAGGTTTGGTATTAAAATAGAATCATTAGTGTGCCTGGAGGGGACAGGTTCTTCCACGCTTTGCTCCAGCCCCCTGACTACAATCACCTCCAGGAGACTTGACTTGGACCAGCTCCACACACCCTCTTCCTTCCTGGCTAATTAGGTTAGGGTGCCTCTGTCCAATCACTATAAACTCACTTATAACCTGCGAACAAGGCAGCTATAGGAAGAAATATAAATGTAGTGTTTCTGAGGTTTAGAGTAAAGTGCTGAGATGAATACTGATGGGTTGAAATAAGTTGACAAGATGCCAAGAGCGCTCAAGGTCAAGGTCTAACATCTCAGAGTGAAAGGCGGCAGCTACTTCACAAGCAGACTCCCCAAATAAGGTTCCCTTTACCCACACGCCCCCAAACTGGCAGAGAGGCAGATGTCTGAGACAGGCAGGGTCTGGCAGAAATGAGGCGGCACACCTCGAAGGGTTTCGATGAGACGAGTGTTGTGAAGGGAGCTCTTGCAGACGTGTGGGCAGGGTGAGGGGACCACGTAGCATCCCGGGATGACGAGAGCAGGACCTAGTCACCACCCTGGGCCTGAAAGAAAAGGACGCTAAGAGCTGGAGCTATGGAAGAGCAGTCCCAGACAGGACGTGCCCGCGACGGCCGGGCAGGGCAGGTGCCAGGGGATGAGGGCACAGCCTATTCCCCCACCTCCCACTCGGCAGGTGCCCCCTTTGGCCAAACCCAGTGGAAAGACAGGGAGCCTGTGAGACAGTCCATGGGCCCTCGAAGCCCAGATCAGGGCAAGGCGGAGTGGACGGTGGGTCTGGGGGCAAAGGGAAATGAATAGCGCAGTGCCCAAGCAGCCGTGGGATGGCACAGGATGGAACAGTGCAGGGGCCTCGGGAAGTGTTTAAAATACCAACGCTTCTAAGATCTCTATGAAAGTTGCTCTCTCTGCGGTAGTCTTGGCCCTGAGACTTACCCGGTCCCCAAGGCATTGGGAGAGCTTATGAGTATAATACAGTGTCCTTGGATTCCCTGGCTAGTGGCCTTTCTTAATTTGCCTCACTCAAGACCCTGCAAGCCACACTATGTATGGGGGGGACAGACCCTGGCAACCACAGCAGAAACCTGGTCACAGAAGGAACCGCTGGACAACGCAGACACAGAAAGAATGTGGCTGCAGGACCACAAGACATGGGCTGTCCCATCAAGGGGAAGCTCTCTCCTCATCCGTGCGGTTCTAGAGAACCAAACTCAGGCCAAGGCAGGGAGTCGCTAGAGGCTCGGTTCAGTTCGACGCCAGGAGCACTTCCTGATGCAGCCCTTTGCCGGCTGTAAGCAGCGGACGCCCCGCCCTGGGGAACTCCTACGCCTGCCCTGGGGAACTGGGAGAGGCCTGGAGAGGGCAGGCTCTCGGCAGAGACTGGCCGGGTTTGAATTCTGGTTTTGCTGCTTATTAGCTGTGTGATCTTGGGCACGTTCATTGATTTGTTTGTGCCTGTTTCCTCATTCAGAAGTGTGGATAATATTAGTACCTACTGTTAGAGTTGTGAGTTAATCCATACAGCGGATTTAGAACAGTGTCTAAGCTCATACTAAGTGCTCACCAAATGTCAGCTAATGTTTCCTATCATGATTATTTCTGTCTTTACCATCCTCATCACTTCAAAGATGCTGTGAATGAGGCGTCTTCACTCTGGGGTCAGAAGGCGGTCAGCACCCTGCCTTCTGACCCCACAGTTTCCTTATCTGGAGAACAGGAATAATACTGCCATCATGACCTCTGGAGGAGGTAACTCCTGTAACTCCTCGCACATCGTACGTGCGCAATCAGGGTTGTTGGAACGGATGGCCTCCGAGACCTGTCTCATTCTAACATGCCGTGAGTCTTCCATCCTAAAGCTGTGTTTGTAGCGGAAACTGGAGAAGCTCGTTCTCCCTGTGCCTCTCTCCTTCCCCTCTTACCTTTCTGCTTCTTTCCTGTCCGTTTCCTTCTTCCCCAGGCTAAAGTGGATAATGAGATTCTTAATTACAAAGACCTGGCAGCTCTCCCCAAGGTTAAGTCCATCTACGAGGTACAACGCCCTGACCTCATTTCCTACGAGCCTCATTCCAGATACACGTCTGATGAGATGCTGGAGAGATGTAGCTATGGAGAGGTATGGCATCTTGCCCCTCTCTCCGGGGCTGTTGGAGGAGAGGAGGGCCCATGGGGTCCCCGACAACCTCCATCACAGACACTTTGACCTCCACAGTGTTGGCCCCAAGACTCCTTTAAACGGGAATTTACAGTCGACATTTTAAAATCCGGTGATTTCATCCAAAAATCTGACTTGACTTGAAGAATTAGAGCTGGCGACACCACACCAGTATTTCCACCATCTAGAGATGGGGAACCGTGCCCTGCTATAGACGGAACATGGGCTTCCACCACTCCCTGAGAACCCCAACACTGAAGCCGAGAACGTGTAACTACTTATCGCTTGCACTATTGTTTTCTTAGAGTGGAGAAATTGTATACATGGCCATGGCTCTCACCCCGTGCCGCGCTCAATGGCCATTTGGGTTTATAATCCCTGGTTAGTAGGTTCTCTAGTTTTTGTACCTGGCCTTATGTCCCTGTGCTCAGAGCAAGAGAGGAATTCATAAAAACTCAGCATCCGATGGCTTTTGAAATAATTAAGTGGTTCTTGGATGAGAGAAAGTGTTCTCTGGAGAAAGCAGGGTGGTCACTGCCCGGGAGGTCCTGGCAGCCGATATCCCCGGAGACGTCTAACTCCATCCCGCACTCCTGAGCTGAGGTCATGTGGAGCAGAAGGACCCCTGGCCTGGGGGCCACAGACCCAGCCTCTTGTGTGTGTTCCACCACTGTCCCCTTCCTCTCTAAAGGGATTGGCTTCCCTTTGGTTGGAGAGTTCTGGCCCCTACAATGGACCAGGAAAAGGGGACCAAGTGTTTGGCAGAGGCTGATTCTCCTGAGCGCAGAGATGGCACACTAGGGCCCACAAGCCACAGCCAGCCCTAAAATTTGTTTTGTTTCACTCACAAAGTATCTTTTAAAAATGTAAATCAATTTCCAATATTTAAACATTGGCACATTTCATATAAGAATTTGCCTTTCTGACATGTCTTGCAAACTGAAGAAACTGTGTCAATGTTGGGCAGACACCCGAGCCTGGCCCCGATGTGCTGGGCTGAGCAGCCCTCTCCGTAGGTGGGACGTTCCGTCCCCAGCTTGCCCAAGCCCCCTGTTGATGGCACCAGCCTGGCCCTTGCTCGGCCTCCCTTTGGCTCCCCTACGCTGGGCACTGTCCTGATGAACCACAGAGGAGCCACGAGCTAGTGAAGGGTCAAGAAGGGGTCATGAGATGACTCTGAGCTGGCAGTGGAGACGCCGGGTCAGGTGGACACCCTGCCACTCCCTCCTTGAGGCCCGAGCCATCCGTCCCCTCTCTGGGCCTCGGGCTTCCCACTTGCAGGAGGGCACGACGGAAGGTTTGCTCCCACCTGTCGGCACCGCGGCTTCCCTGAGCTCTGAGTGGGGGTGTTACCGGCACGGGGAGGCCGAGGAGCAGCGGAGGCCGTCTCCTTGCTGAACCACTGAACTGCTCTGTCCCTCTCTCCCGCCCTGTTCTCTCTCCTTCCATGACTGCCTTCAAACTCTCGCTTCTAAGTCGCTGGGAACGTTGTCTCCCTACTCCCAGGTAATGAAGCTAGTTTGGGGACCTTTTGTATAATTGTGTTTCTTTACGCTGACCAACTAGACCCCTGATTTCCGCCTCCCCAGCCCCCAAGGGACCTAAGCCCTTGTCCCAACCAGGGCAGTGATAGGGAGATAGGAGCACAACCTGGAGGAAGTGGCGGTGGCATAAAAGGTAGAAATGACTGGGGGCAAACCTGAGGTACCCTTTCTACCTAGAGATGACCCCCCACCCCGGATGCTTCTGTGATCCTTGACCAGGGTTCCAGGGACCTGACCCCCAGGTTCCATTCAAGGGTTTGAGTGGTGGGTGAAGGCCCTGAAACTTCTCTGCACCCTTCCTTGGGCTGTGCGTGTAACCCAGGGAGGGGTGTCTGTGTTCAGGAGGACAGCACCCTGTTCCAGCCCCCAAATCCCTGACGCCCTGTCACTGCCCCACCTGCCTACCAGGCCCTTGGGGAGGCTGCTGGCCGTGCTCACAGCCCCACTTCCTCCGCAGGACATCTACGAGAGCCTGGACCTCCGGCAGAGACGGGCCTCCAGCCCGGGGTACATCGATTCCCCCACCTACAGCCGGCAGGGCATGTCCCCCACCTTCTCCCGCTCGCCTCACCATTACTACCGCTCCGGTAAGGAAGGGGAGGCCCCCAAAGGGACAGGAAGAGCCAGGGGGACAACACAGTGGCTTGATGTCCCCAGCTGCAGAGACAGAACAGGGCTTCCCTGAGATCTCCGTTGCAGCAAGGCCTCTGCAGGCCTGTGGCCACCCAGGTGACAGGCTGGGCCTCAGAGTCCCTGCAGAGGCCTCGGCAGGAGAGGACGAGAAGCCGAGGGAGAGGGGGTGGGAGCTGCTCGGAGAGGGGAGGGGCAGGCAGCCCAAAGGCCCCAGCCGGCAGAAGACACGTTAATCCTCGTCCCTAGGCCTGCCCACCCAGAGGCTAGAACCAGGAGACCGGAAATGGGCAGGGGCCTGGCCTTCCCCCAGCAGCCCCGCCCCACCCAGGCCAGTCAGGCTGTCCACGGCCAGCCCAGGTTAGGGGCGAAGCCAGCAGAGCAGTCAAGGGAGGGGGAAGGTGGAGAGGGCGGGGTGAAAATGCCTTCCTAAAGCTTGGTGGCATGGATTCTCATAACCCACAAAACCTGACTTTGGGGTGACGCAAGAGAGAGGGCCAAGCCTGTTTCTGCAGACAGTGCATGGGCCACAGCCGCCTCCCTCCGCCCTGCTGCCATCACCCCACTGCCGCCTTCGCTGCCGCCGCGCTGACGCCCGTTTTCTCCGCCTCTGTTCTCTCTGGGGACCACTGCCTGCGTGCTCCAGGGCCCGAGAGTGGCCGGAGCTCTCCATACCATAGCCAGTTAGATGTGAGGTCCTCCACTCCAACCTCTTACCAGGCTCCCAAGCACTTTCACATCCCAGGTAGGCTTCCGGCCCGGGATTCCCGGCGTCGATGCATGTTCATGGGGTCGCCGGGCACCCTGCACCGGCACCGAGGAGAAGCCGGTTCCCGGGGACCCTCCCCAACCAGTCACCCAAACTGACCCGTCCTCCAGCCCCGATACACCCACTCCCTTGAGGGAATCAGTCGTGGTGGGGACTGCCAGGGAGAAGCCAGGGCAGTGCCCCTGGGGGCCGTGACGGCAGCAGTAGCCAGGCTGGAAGTCAGGGGCTTTGGCATCGCAGCCCTTGGGATTAAATCTCAATCCTGCTGCTTATATATAAGCTGGTGACCTTAGGCCAGTCACTTAGCGGCTCTGAGCCTCGGTTATTCCTTCGGTACAGCCAGGCACTGTTCTAGACCCTGCGGTTGCAAACGTGCTTAAACCAGCCCAGGGCCTGCCTTCCAATGGGTAAAGAGAGAGCACAAATGAGAAAACAAATAAGTAAAAGGATAAATTCAGGTAATGGTAGGTGCTATAAACATAATAAAATAGGGTATGTGATAGAGTGACTGAGGGTGGGGGAGATTGGGCTAGGTGAGGTGGTCAGGAAGGGCTTCTTGGAGGTGGTGACATTAAAGCCAAAAGATGAGAAGGAATCATCTTTGTGAAAACCCCAGGGGAAAACACCCTGGCAGAGCAAACAGCCTGCACAAAGGCCCTGGGACACTGACTGGCAGTGGGCCTGGCTGGCTAGAGGTGGTGAGCATGAGGGGCAGCGATAGTGACCCTGTAGGTGTGATCTGGACAGGATCTCACCCTGAGTTCCAGCAGAGCCAAGCCTAGGCTGGTCTCCCAACTCTGAGCTCAGGTTTTCACTCCCCACGCACTTTTCCCCGGGAGCTCGTCCTGCTGTTTCATCTACACCTTTCTCACCTGCCCCAGGAAGGTCCCATCCAGTCTGGGTTTGGGAAGGCGGGAGGGAGATGGCGCTGAACCATGGCTGCAGCACCCCGGGCACTTCCACATGGCATGAGGCGTGGCTGCTGGGTGGAGGCGGTGGACACCTTCCTGCATGGGGTCCTGCTGAGCACGTGCCCACCTATTGCCTGCATGCCCACCATTCAAGCCCCGAGTCCTCTCCTCAGCACCATTGGAACCCATGCATTCCTCTCCCCTCACCTTTCTTGGAAACCTATGGTACGAGGTTGGAAGTTTAGCTTTGGAAGAGGAAGTCCACCAGGGAAAAGATGGTGGACCTTGGGAAAACTTATGGACCATCTTTCTCTTCTGAGATCAACTGACCAACTGCTGTCTTCTCTGTCTTGCTCTCTCTCTCTCCTCCCTTCTGTCCCTTCTGGGTCTGTCTGGCAGCTGGAGAAAGTAACATCTACCGGAAACCCCCGATCTACAAACGGCATGGTATGGCCAGAGGCAGAGCGGGCATGGCCAGGCAAGGGATGTGGGGCAGGGAACATCTGTGCAGATGGTTCTGCATGGGTCACCAGGAGGGATACATGCAAGGCTGCACCTCGTCCTTCTTCCTGACTGCCCTCCCCCAATCACTCCAGGTGACACTGGAGAAGAGTTTGGTGACATTTTTAAAAGAGCAAGGAAGGCCTCATATCCCCTAAGTCCTTTGCCACCATCTCCCCAGTCCCCTTCCCTGCTGTCTGGTGTCCTGAGTTCCGTGGTCAGAGTAACCCTTGCCAGCACACCCCTGAGAGGCGTTCCCAGGGCACTGACACTCAGTCAGCCATCAGAGACCTGCTGGTCCCTGCAGAAGCACTAATGAGCCTCTGTGGAATAAGCACATCTCTTAGTTGAGGATGTGGAGGCCCAGCTGGCACCCTGTCACCCTCATGTGCCTGTGGGTCTAGTTGGATAACAGAGTTGGTAGAGCATGGAGCCGGCAGAGGTAGACCTGTGCCAGGATCTGAACTCCCTGAGCTGGTGGAGGGGTGGCACAATATAAATAGTGGCTCTGGGCACTTAAGACCTGACGATTTAGATAAATGTCCTCCATTTGGGAGGGGGCTAGGCCGGGGTCCAGGGGCTTCTGGGAGCACATGCACGTCTGTGCATTGCTGCAGAGGACATACCATGTGCCCTAAGTGGCCACAGACAGGCATTGTCAAAGTAACCCCGACAAAGTTAGTCTGACTTTATATCCAAAAAAGGCCCCCAGATCCCAAACCCCTCAGGACTGCACGGGAGTGTGCAGAGGACTCGGAGAGGCAGCACCAAAGCAGGGCACGGGGTGGAGGTGGACGGTGCGGATAAGGAGGAGATGGGCTGGGGTGGGACCCACATCAAAGAGAAGTGAATACTTTCTGAGCGAGTGCTGCTGGGAGGGGCCCATTTCCCCAGCCCTATCCCCGCCCTAGTCAGCCTCCTGCCGGTCTTTGGGACATGCTAAAGTCACTCCCCCGGAAGGTTTTGTGCCCAGGCACCATAGGTTTGATGGTCACCCCATGCTGCAGAATTCACATGGAAGATTGAAGCTGGATGACACCTGAGCCCACAGGCCAATTCTGATGCTCACTGATAAGGAAACTGAGGCAGAGAGGGGAAGGATTTGCCCAGTGCTAAAACTGAGTTAAGGCAGAGCTGGGAGCAGAACATAGCGGTGCTGACTCCCTGTCCAGTGCTCCTTCCTTTGGGTCAGATAATCTCCCAAGAAGGACTTGGCATTTCAGGGTGAGAAGGTTGACCTGACTCAACACGCACCCTGGAGGTGTTTCGATCCACAAGGCTGGCTTGTAGAGGTAAGGAAGGTAAGGCGAGGGCTCCCTGGGACATGTCTACTCTTACCTGGAGGAGCCACGGCCTCAGTGTTCACTTAGGAGCGCAACTGAGAGTCCACGAAATGTGGTGGAGGGAGCCCTGAGCCAGGGGTCTGATCCAGTCTGGTCTAACTTGCTGTGTGGCCCTGAGCCAGCACCTTCCCCTCTCTGGCGTTCAGATTCACAACTGCCAAATGTGGGCCTAGGCCCCAATGCTTTTCTAGCTCCATGTCCCAGATCCTGGCTTCCAAACGGCCTCACTCCCCTGGGCTAGAGCCTGGCTGAGACATGGGAGGCACGGTACTGGTCTAGAACACTCTGCCTCCCTGAAGCGCTCTGTCTGGGTCTTTTACAGGTGATCTGTCAACAGCAACCAAGAGCAAAACAAGTGAAGACATCAGTCAGGCCTCCAAGTACAGTCCAGCCTACTCGCCAGACCCCTATTATGCTTCAGAGTCTGAGTATTGGACCTACCATGGGTCCCCCAAAGGTAGTGTGCCCCTCAGGGGAGCCACGGCCGGAGCCCTGTCACCTAGACCAGGGACATAGGGAGTCAAGATAGTCACCCACTCCTTCACATGGTCCTTTATTTACTCGTTCAGCAAACATGTACTGAGAGCCAGCCATGGGCCCTAGGGAGGCACCGGGGAGCAAACTGGACCATGTCCTTGCCCCTGTGGAGAAGACACAGTTCCTAACTGAAAGGGGAGGTAATGCACAGAGGTAAGCGAGCTGATGACAGGGGCGTGCTGCCCAGCCTGGAGGAGTGACAAAAGCTCCTCGGGTGCAGAGGCTCTGCTGCTAGAAGGGTAAGAGGACGCAAGCCAACAGTGTAGAAACACATCTGCAAAGACCCAAGCTGTCAGCCTCACCTGGAGCTCAGAGTGGGGCGGGGGAGGATGAGGGCCCAGACCCGCCTGGCCTTGTGGGTGTTGCTTTATCCGACACGTAGGAAGCCATGAAGAGTGCCAACATGATCAGATCTGTTTGTAAGAGGCCACTGGCTGCAGGGTGCAAAGCCGTTTGGAGGATTGAGAAAAGAGGATGCGGGCAGATGGAAGGGTCCTGGCAAAGGGTCTCAGTGGTCCTTAAGGTGTGGCCCCAACCAGCCTGGCATCCCAAGCTTTTTCTTTCAAGTACGGGAAGGAAAATTTCATCAAGTGCCATTTTGATTCAATACACGCCTTTATTAATTGAATGGCCGTTCTAAGCAAAGACTCTGAGGAGCCGAGATGACCCCCTTCCCCACCCGCAAAGAAGTCTCCATTTAGAAAGGAGATGAGCCCTGGCCGGTTTGGCTCAGCGGTTGGAGCGTCGGCCTGCGGTCCAGAGAGACCCGGGTTCGGTTCCCGCTAAGGGCACGTACCTCGGTTGCAGTTTGTCCCCGGCCCTGGTTGGTCGTGCGGGTGGCAGCCACTCGATGTGTCCCTTCACGTCGATGTTTCTCTCTCTCTCTTCCTCTCTCTCCCTCCCGCTCTATCTGAACAAAAAATGGAAAAATGTCCTCGGGTGAGGATTAAAAAAAAAAAAGAAGAAAGGAGATGAGACACAAGTACAACCCAAAGCGGACAGTGATCAGTGTCCGTAAGAGATAAGTGTTCAGAGGCTGTACCAGCAGGAAAAACCACAGCCAGCAGGTGTGGGGCGGGGGGGTGGGGGGAGGAATCTTGGATGAAACTGTTTCAATCACAAAAATACGAACAAGCAAAAAAATAAAAACCAACCCAAGATGGCTTAGACCAAATTAGGGGTTTCCTGGGTCAGGTGACAGAGCTGTGGCACAGCTGGATCTAGAGGTAGATGAACGTCATCAGGATGTGTCCTGTCCCCTGGATTGGGTGGCTCCATCTCAGGCTGACTCTGCCCTTGTCACTGCAAAGGGAGCTCGAGCAGGTTCAGGCCTCCCTCCTGCCCTTGGCAGAAAGAGGACTTCTGTCCCACCAGCGTCAGGCTGAGTCCCAACACTGTGGTTTCCTAGCACTGCTTGGGAAGCCGGCTTCTCATGCACCTCACAGCCCGAGGACGGGAAGGCACGCTGGCGTCTGCATGCAGGGAGGCCACGGTGGAGTGGCCGTTCACCAAGTGCTCTGTGCAAGGTCACCTAGCTAGACAGTGGTGGCGCAATAAGGAACCCCCACCCGTCTAGGCCTACTGCCCCTGTGCCCTCTCCCCGGAGCAGGCAGGGTGGGGAGCACACATGGGCTGATCCTAGCTATCTTTTGGCAGTTCCCCGAGCCAGAAGGTTCTCATCTGGAGGAGAGGAGGACGATTTTGACCGCAGCATGCACAAGGTGAGCAGGCCGCACCGCTGAATGAGATGCAGAGACAGTATGTTACTGAGGATGTTTTCGCTTGCCAGTGACAAAAACCCAATTCGAACTCATTTCTTGATGGGAAAAAGAAATGGCATAACTGAGAAGCCAGATGATAGGGTTAGCTTCAGGTATAACGAGATCCAGCTGCTCAAAATATTGTCATGGGGATAGTGTCTCTCTCCGCTCTCGTGCCGGCTTGCCTCTGCATTGGCCTTGTGCTCAGTTGGGTTCTTCTCAGGAGGTGGCACAGGGGTGCCAGCAACTCATGCATTGCTGGTGGGAGTGGAAAGTGGTGCCACTACTGGGGAACCTGTCTGGTGGTTCCTCAAAAAGTTAAACGTAGAAGTGCCGTGTGACCCAGCAATTTCACCTCTAGGTATTTGCCTAGAACTGAAAATTGGCACTAAAATATATGTATACTCATGTCCATAACAGCACTAACAGCACTATTCACAATAGCCAAAAGGTGGCAGCAACCCATATGTCCCATCAGCTCACAAATGGATAAAAAAGGTGGTATATCCATACAATGGAATATTATTCAGCCTTAAAAAGGAATGAAGTACTGACACATGCCACAATGTGGATCAACCTCAGAAACATTATGCTTAGTGAAAGAAACCAGACACCAAAGCCCACACATTCTACAGTGTCATTTACATGAAATATCCAGAATAGGTAAATCTGTAAAGACAGGACATGGATTGGTGATTACCAGGGACAGGGAAGAGAGGGAGATAGGGAGTGGCTGCTTAATGGGTACAGGATCTTTTTAGGGGGTGATAAAAATGTTTGAAAACTAGGTAGAGACTGTGGTTGTACTAAATGCCACTAAATTGTTCACTCTGAAATTCACAGTATTATGTCCCAAAAGAAAATATGGCTGCTGCAAGGAGGGAGGGTCCTGGGAAGGCAGAAAGGGCAGAGGTTCACTCTAGAGTCCAATCTTTCAGCCTTTCCCAAGCCTGCTCCATCTCAGTGTTCTTGCTTCCTTCTGACTTCATCCTGCTTCTCCCCACCCCCAGCTCCAGAGCGGAATTGGCCGGCTGATTCTGAAGGAGGAGATGAAGGCCCGGTCCAGCTCCTACGCAGATCCCTGGACCCCACCCAGGAGCTCCACCAGCAGCCGGGAGGCCCTGCACACAGCTGGCTATGACATGTCCCTCAACGGCTGTAAGCACCGCTCTGGAGGCCTCCGGGTGGGGGCTTTCTCCTCCCTACTCCATCAGTGAATGTGAACCCCTACGTCTCACCTGTCACAGACTTGGCACGGGGCCGTGTGGGGCACCAAGTAAGACCATGCTCTGCCCTAAGCAGTCACTTCTGCTTCTTGGGACATCAGAAGCAGTGACTTCCTGTCAGGTTCAATGTAAACGAAAACGTCTTCTAATTGTCTGAATGGCTCAAAAATACAAGGGGCTACCTCTTGAGGTAGTGAGCCTCCTAGCGTTGGAGGTACACAAGCAGAGAATTGGTTTCGCACTTTGCCCCAGGAGTCTTTCACTGTAATCTCACCCCTGTTCCTGGACACATGTTTGCTCTGTCTGCCTCCTCTCTTTCTTACCCCTGTGGGAGTCAGTCCTGCCAGGAAATCCTATCTCAAGTCAATAATTGATGAGTAATAACCTTGTGAAGAATAATCATCTTGACATACTTGTCAGTACTTGATGGATACAAGTCAATACATGATGGCTAGTAACCTAATCACGGGTAATCACCCTGACTCTAGGGGAGATTAAAGAAGACAGTGGTGGTAATGATGATAAAGCCAGTGTCATTCAGTGTTTTGTATGTGTCAGGCACTGTGCTGGTACCTTTCTGTATTGCCATTCTTCACACTCACCCTATAAAGGAGACACTCCCTCTCCATTTAACAGGTGAGAAAATGGAAGCATGATTACGTGACTTGTGGAAGTTAGTATCTACGGATGGCAGAGCCAGGACAAACTGATGTGCAGGTTCCCTGTTTGACCACTGAGAGACAGTATTTAATCTCTGCCTCTGGGCTCTGCAGTACGTCACCAATGCTGCTCGAATTTCAACTCCATTCGGTGGCATCTGTGCAGCAAATATCACAGAGCACCTGCTATGTGCCAGGTGCTGGGCTAGGAGCTGGGGGGGGGGGGGTACAATACAACAATTGGAAACTGACCAGTAGGAAAGGAGGTCATGAAAGAGGCCCCTCTCCCCTCCAGCCAGGGCGTCCGGGGTATGGGAGTCATGTCTGTTTGCCCCATGAACTGCCCATCATGTCTGTCCGTCCCCGTGAACACTGATCTCTGGCTTTCTCTCTTGCAGCCCCTCGGTCCCACTACCTGGCTGACAGTGGTACGTTCTGCCCGGCCTACCTTCAGCCCACGGTGTTCTGTGAGGGCCAGAGCTGAGTCAGCGGCAGGTCCCCATAGCTGTGATGAGCATACATGTGGACGTCCCAGCACAGTCCTCCGCTCCAGTAGTCCGCCCCACTGTTTGTCAGCTGGGGGGCCGCAGTGTCAGTCCTAGAACCGAGGCTGACATGCCCAACAGCCCCCGGAGGGAAAGAGCGTGTGCCTCTTCCACCCATGTGAGAGCTGGCCTGTCTGGGGTCCGAGCCCAATTCCAGTCCCAGGACCTTTGTCCAGAGCCACCCTGTGGCCAGGACAGGAGCCCGTCATGAGAGGCTAGATGTGTGCAGGACAAGGCCAGAGATTATGTGAGTGGGTGCTTCGGGGGGCCTAGAATTCTGCCAGGGTGAGGCACCCCTACGATGGCCAGTGCGAGCCTGAAGAGCAGTGGGGGGAGCTGCTGGCCTCCAGCTACGGCCCCTTCGCCCTGGGGCTGGGGAGTAATATTGGCCCTTTGCTGCCAGATGAGCTCAGGGAGAGGGGCCCCAGCTTGGCCCCCTAGTGACTGTTTTGCTCCTTTTCAGATCCCCTCATCTCCAAGTCCGCCTCCCTGCCTGCCTACAGAAGAAACGGGCTGCACAGGGTAAGAGAGGCTATGTGGGGACAGTGCTCCCCAATGTTGGCAATTGTGGCATTAGCTCATAGCTGTGGGGCTTAGGATGGTTACTCGGGGGTGGAACCTGGACAGAGGCCATGGGGCTGGAGGTAGGTTAACTGAAGGAACCCAAAGGCAATGACTGCTCTCCTCCCTGTGAGCACTTTGTGAAAAGGAGCCCCCATGGGAGAGGCTGGCCGATGCCTGGCACTGTGCTAAGCACTTAATGAGCACGAACTCATTTACCCCGCGAGGCAGTTACGGTGGAGGCATGGAGAGGTGGGGTGACTTGCTCCAGCTCTCACACCCAGTAAGTGTAGAGCCGGGACTCAAGCCCACGGCCCACACTGCCTGCTCCACCTGCCTGACGTGGCCTGGAACTCTCCGACCTCTCTGATGGCCTGCAACATAAAGGCTTCACAGAAACAGTGAGTTGGGCCCGGCCACTGTGGCTCAGTGGATTGAGCGTCGTCCCATGGACTGAGAGGCCCCAGTTCAATTCCCAGTCAGGGCACATGCCCGGGTTGTGGGCTTGATCCCCAGTAGGGGGCGTGCAGGAGGCAGCTGATCAATATTTCTCTCTCACATCGATGTTTCTATCTCTCCCTACCTCTCTAAACAATCAATAAAAACATATTGGAAAAAAAAAGTTAAAAGAAAAGAAACAATGAGTTGGTTTAAGGACCAAAAGAGAATGAAAAATATGTCTTGTTAGCAAGGGGAGAGGCTGGTGACTGGACGGGTGGTGGGGGAAAGCAGGGACATTGAGACAGATGTCTATTAACTGAGCACCTACTAAGTGCCAGACACTGCTCTAGGTGCTGGGGGTACTGCAGTGAATAAAGTTGCTGCTCCCAGAGAGCTAGAGTTCTAGTTGGGGAGACGGACAACCAGCAAGTGAAGGTGGGATTTGCAGTCAGGTGGTCACAAGTGTTCCGATGGAACTCAAAGCATGGGGGTCAGAGAGAAGGCGGTCAGAGAGGGATGGATTTAGGCAGGGCCCGAGGGCACAGAAGGACCTCACCGCTTGAGGACCAGCAAGAGCCATCCAGATGGAGGGAAGCACAGTGTCAAAGGCCCTGGGTGGGGAGGACCCCTGGCTGGCATGGAGTGGGCATGGACACGAAGCCAGCAGGGATGTCAGTAGGGGCGTGCTGGTGAGGACTGCAGGGGGAGTCCAGTGACTACTGTGACCTGACTCAGACGTGTAATGGGGTCCCTCCACTGCCGTGTGGATCAGAGACTGCAGAATCGGGAGCCGTGGACCCTGTTTTAGGGTCGAGCCCACCAAAGGGAGCTGCGCTGCACTGGAGGGTGATGGCTGGTGTTCATAAATCTGTCCTCTCCGCGCTCAGAGCCGGGACATTCGTCCACACAACAGTTATTTATCAAAAGTATTTTATATGCACCAGGCACCGCTCCAGGTGCCTGGAATACATCAGTGACCAAGCAAGACAAGCACCCCTGCTCCTTAGAGCTTCCATTCTTGTAGGGAGAAACAGAGAGCAAGTAGGAAATAATAACAAGTCCAATTATACAGACTGTAGAAGGCAGTAAGTGCTCCGAGGGAAAAGGGGGAAATGGGAGACTGGGAACATGGGGGGAGGACAATTTGCCAGGGTAGATCTCATTTAAAAAAAAAAAAGCATGAGATATAATTCACCAATAAATGAATATTTATTGAGTGCTTATTATGTGCCGGACTTGGGATATGGCAGTGAGTTAAATTTCCCCAACTTGAGACTGAGGCTGTGTGAGGGCCCATGTCCCCACGCCTGGTCCGTTTCTGGAGAGGAGTGAGTACTTCAGGGAGGCAAGGAGAGCCTGCCTCAGGCCTGCCCGGCTCTATCTCCCCTGCAGACACCCAGCGCAGACCTCTTCCACTATGACAGCATGAATGCCGTCAACTGGGGCATGCGAGGTGAGTGCGGGCCTCCCCCCAACTCTCAGGGACTTCGGATGCGGCTCATAGCTGCAGCATGACCCTCAGCCAGTGATTGCTCCGGACTCGGGCCCCACGCTGGGCTCTGTCCAAACCCCAAGTTCCCACTCCCTTTCACTTCCCAGTCCCTCCCTTTTCTACTCCTCACCCCTCATCCTCTCAAATCCCTGGCCTTGGGTGACCTCCAGGCCATCTGTCCCATCTGGGTTCCCGGTGCTGCTGCGCGAGCATGGCCTGCCAGCTCTGGGTGCAGGGACACACTAGGAGCCAGACGCACATTTTCCCAGCATGAATCCCCTGAGTGTGGGCAGTGTGCCATGGTGCTCTCCCGCCAGCCTCCACCAGCTCCTGCAGGTGGGCTCCGGCACCCCTACCGGCCTTGCTGGGATGAATCCAGGGCAGAGACTCTAAGACAGAGGCCGTGTAGTGTGCACAGCAAAGACCAATGTGTTTCCATTTCGTCTCTTTTCTCTCTGCAGAGTACAAGGTAAAGGAGACACACAGACCCGGGAGGTCTCTGAGACACTGGGAGCTGCTACAGTGGGGACCAGCAGAATGACAGCACTGGTTATGCAGGAACTGGGACATTGATATTAACCCCAAGGGTCCCCTTAAGACCAGCATTTCCAATTCCTTGGCCCACTTTCCCTATATCCTTCCCCACGATTCTTGCCTCCTGAAAACATACAGTTTCCCGTGGGCCTCAGAGACTTTGTGGAGGCTTCCAAATCCAGATGTGAAACATACACATTCAGGAGGCCTTGTCCCCACATTAATGCCGAATGCCACCAAGCTCATTCCAAGCAGATGGGGAGACTCTGGGGCCTTGCTTTCTGGGGAAAGGTGGCTTGAGGCTGCCAGGTAACCCCAACGGAGGGCGACCCAGCCGCCCCTCCAGACTTCAACCTCTGGCCCTTTCTGGGTAGAGGAGGGAGCCCAGTCACAAAATGTGGCTGAAGGGACAAGTCCACCACCCTTATCCAACCTGCAAACCCCTACCCCCATCCTCTCTCCTTAGATCTACCCTTATGAACTGCTGCTGGTGACCACAAGAGGAAGAAACCGACTGCCCAAAGATGTGGACCGGACACGTTTAGAGGTAAGTACAGAAAACTGAGCAGGGCCTTTGGGTTCAAAGGGATTCTAGCAGTGGCTGGTCTAACCCAGCTCGGAAGGGGCCAGTGGAATGAATGGCTTTAAGGTCACAGAGCTTGTTGAAAAATCAGAGGCTCTATCCAACCCAGTTTTCTTGGCCCAGGACTGTGCCATGACGTTCTGTGCTGCCTCCACCAACTCAGTGGGCACCTGTGCTACACGGATGCAGCCTGCCCCCCCTCCCCCCGCCGAGGCTGCCGCTTCTGCAGACGTAGAGGAGAGCTCGGTTTGGGCCCTGCTCTCAGAGGCCTGCAGTCTGGTGGATAAGGAGGAATCCAGTGGGGGTTTAATGCAGGATTGTATAGAAAACCAGTGCTTGTGATGGGGAGGACAGGGAGGCAGCACTGTGCAGAGGTAAAAGCATAAGGAGATCTCAAGTCGGACTCCCTAGGTTCCAACCTTGATCCTGCCATCCCTGGGTGGGCAGCTTGGCAACCTCTCTAAACCTCAGCTCTCTCCTCTATAAAGTGGGGTAATTGTCATGCTCTCCTCAAGTTGCCAAGTGACACAATGAAACAATACACAAAGAGGCCTTGGCATTGCGTCAGGCAGCATCCTGAGGAGTAAGCGCTCTGCCAATGTGTGGCTGCTCGTATTCAGAGAAGACCACGAAGGCTGGCTTGGAGGACCAGGCTTCCACCAAGAGGAGGATTTAGCTGGGCTGGGAAGTGGGCAGGTCTGGGTGGTGGAGAGAGGGAAGGAAGCATCATGCCATGGGAGCAGCGCAGACAAAGGCTCAGAGGTGGCCTGAGCATGGCACTGGGCTTTGGAGCCATCCAGTACATTTGGCGTGGAGTTCCCGGTCCCTGGTCACTTCTGATGCAGGAGCACCCTGTGTCCTTTCCACCTAGCCTCTGCCTGGACTGCCCTTCCCATCTCTCCAGCCTCCTCACTCTTCAGGGCTGCCCTCCTGGGATGCCTATGCCCCGAACCTCCCCAAGCCTTCCCTGGGATGTGTCACTCACCTCTTCCTCCAGCCTCCCCCAGCCCTGCAACTAGCGTGCAGATCCATTTCCTCTGCCTGCCAAAGACAGTCTGTCATCTGTCACATGGCCTGGACTGGGAGAGGTGTCGGGAAACGTTTGCGAAATTGAATGCAGGCTTCTAAGAGAGGAGGCTCGGCACTCCTAGGGACAGGACAGCATATCAGCCACCTCGACCTGACAGCTGGGAATTCACCCAGAGCAGAGAGAGGGCTGGGGCAGCAGGAGGGGAACGCGAGCGGCTCAGGAAGCTGTGTGAGTCCTTCCAGCTCTAGCTCGCTGGGGTAGCAGCGAGGAAGCACAAGATCCCGCCCGCATGCGGAACCCTGCGGTGAGACGGTCTTCCAGTGCTGAAGGGGACAGCTCCCTCGGCAACCCGGTGAACCCCAGCGTTAAGGGATGGAAACGTGCATCCTGGGAGACCAGTTGTTCTCTTACATCCTTCAGAACACGCAGAAGCATAGACCAGGGGAGCACAACCTTCTCTGAGCATCAGAATCACCCAGGGAGCTTTTTAAAATTACCAGTACAGGGCTCAACTAAACTGCAGTCGGGGGAGGGAGCCCAGGCATCAGTGTTTTTCAGAGATTCACAGGCATGTCTACCATGTTGCCTGAGCTGAGACCAGTGCGCTAGAGACACGGCCGGCCCCCTGCACTAGTTCAGGGAGCGGATGGAACTGAGTCCATCAGTTAATACAGTTGTTGCCAACAGGTCATCGCAGTGATTCCAGGACGTTTTCAGGCAGGATATATGCCATCTATTTCTCTCTTAAAATGCAGTTTTAAATTTTATTTTGAAAAATTTCGGAACTCCAGAAAAGTGGCAAAAATTGTAAAATGAACAGCCATCTACCCTTCACCTAAATGCACCAATTGTTAACATTTTGCCACATTTTAAGTGCCATATGTTTCTAAATCCAAGAGCTTTTGGCAATGTGTCAACACCCAAGACCAGCTCGTGAGGGAGAGAGCAGGCAGAGCAGGCAGCGGGGTGGGGGGTGGGGCTGCTGTGGAATCCAGAACAGTGTTTCATTTTACGGCAGATTTGCTTTCATATAAGAAAGACGTGAAGAGACATTTCAGTGGGTGGGCAAATAGGGACAGTGGTGTTTTTTCATTGGCTAGCCTGAGGAACAGCCATCTAGATCACTTGTAAAAATATTACTAAGAGGAAACACACCCTAAAATCTTGGCTATGCCTGCTTTTTCTCCCAGAGGACAAAGGAGTAGCATAAATCCATACACACCCCTGAACACAGAGTGACGGCAAGGAGCAGGGATGTGCAAAGGTGAGGTCCACCAGGGTGCATCCAGGGGCCTCAGGTAAACATAAGTCCCACCTGAGTCTTCAGCAGAGGCGGCCTGATCTCTCCAGCCAGACCAGTTCCGGAGAGCCCTCCGATGAAACATTCGTTCATGCACTTATCCATTCAACAAATATTCATCACACACCTTCTGTGGGTCGGACACCACGCAGGGCACACACAGTGCATCCCCAGGAAACATACAGGGACCGCTCCTGCCTCCACCTGCCGCCAGCCAACACCTTACATCCTCAAGCTGTTTCCTCTCTGTCCCCTCTCACTTCCTTTCAGCGCCACCTGTCCCAGGAAGAGTTCTACCAGGTCTTCGGCATGACCATCTCTGAGTTTGACCGGCTGGCCCTCTGGAAGAGGAATGAACTGAAGAAGCAAGCCCGGCTGTTCTAGACAGAGGCTCTATAAATATGTATGCATTTATATAAAGATATATGTAAAATCTCTATACTGAAGCCCGGTATAACCCTCTTGTGTAACGGGACACACTGCCTGCCATGAGACTTGCTTTTCTGTACTGTCAGGCAAGCCCACGTCATCGAGATATTTTTATGCTCCTTACTTTCTCTTTTCTAAATGCAACGGGGTTTGGGAAGGGATTTGAGGGGATACCCATCCTTTTACTGGGGATCCTTTTTATACTGAACCATCTGTCCTAACTTGAGTCCCCCAAGGTCCAGCCCTCTTTCCTAAAGGAGGCGCCTGAAGTCCCTTCTCTCTGCTTCTCGGCTCTTCCCAGTCTCGAGGGTGGATGCTGACCATGCTGTTCTCACACCTTATTGGCCCCAGAGGGGCCTCCCCTGGGAGGATCCACAGGGATCTCCCAAAGTCGCTGAGCACCTTGGAGAGCCCTTGCAGAATTTTCTCATCACCCACAATTAGGAGCTCAGTGCTCTCTGGGGGTGATGCAGTCAGAAGTGTGGGCCTGACCTACCCCTTATAGCAGTCAACAGAAATGGACAGGGCTGTGGCCTCTCCTGAGCTCTTCAATCCTCCTCCTCTGTCCTTGATCCTAACCTCTCCCTGCTCCAAATCTGTGACTTATGGTAGGAAAAGAAAAGTCGCTTCCTCCTGGCCCCTGACCTGGAGAACCAGAGGGAAGGAATGGGAGACAGGAGGGCACCTGTTAGAATTGGAGCTACAGGACCTCTTGGGACCCTCCCCTCTCCCTCACGGCTCCAAGCACCTCCTGACACCCCCTTTGGAGGAGAGGCCCATTATTACAGCCTATATTCTGCAGCCTTACCACAATCTATGTGCCTGACAACTCAACACACACAGGTCTAATGTTCCCATCACAGCCCTAACCGAACAACTAGACAGACAACCTCTAACACCCCTCTCAAGGTGATGTAGGCCATGTTCCAACAAAAGGTTCCTGGTCTATGCCCACTGGTCCTAGGGCTGGCAGGGTAACCCAGCCAGGCCCTGGCTCCCACTGCAAAGTTGGCCAGGTTTTACAGGGGAAACTTTCTGAAGAATGGTGTTCGTGAGATTCCAGAATGAAGCCCTGGCCCACACCACTCACAGTTCCCCTGGGTTTTCCCAGTGGCTGCTCTTCCTGCCTCCCTGCCTTTTGGAACAGGGGTGAATGCTTAGCCTTCTCTCCTCCCCTTTCCAGACCTTCTACCCTGAGTTGGTGATGTTTGGGGGGGAGTCTGCTCCTTCCGGGAGATGCCTTGAGTTGGGCAATTTTGAGATCTTGGAAGAAGGACAAATACATGGAAATAACAATGATGACTCTTAAGAGGCTGGTGATGTGACGTGGCAAATGTAGAACTGACTTCAATTCAACAAACCCTCACTGAGCACCTGCTGACGCTGAGCACTTGCTGTATTCTGAGCACTGAATGGGGGAGGGAGGTGGGAACACGGGGATGATGGGCACGGGCCCTGGTCTCGGAGACATGCCGACTAACAATGTGTATGGTGAGGCATGTACTCAAACATGACGGAGGTAATGTGGAAAGTGATGAGAGACGGCATGAGAAAGTGACATTACTGGAAAGGCAGATGCAGCTGGTGCAGACGAAGGAGAGCTTTCTAGAAGAGATTGCATTTGAGCAAAATTCGGGAAGTATCTTTGTAAACTGGGAGGGGACTATAACTTGAAAGGGTGAAAGGCTGAGGGGCCGGAAGGGAGGTCTAATATGCTCTCATTTAAAATATCAACCCTCTCTGTTACTTCTCTTTATGGCCAATGTCTTTCAACTGTCCTGACCCCTTAGAAATGTCCCCGGCCAGACGCAATCATTGAAACTGCCTCATTATCACTGGTTGAGAACTTGGCAAGATTTGAAGGGCTTCTGTCACTGTTGGTGGATAGTCTTGTTTCCCATAAAGGCACATGATTTCAACCCAGACCTGTGTCCTGTTGTTTGTAGTGGGAGTGGAAATGAGCGACATGGAAAAGAGGCTGAACCATGCACATTTTTTCAAAATAAAAAAAAATCTAGAGAGCAGCTCTCCCTTGGCCTTAGCTTCTCCTTCTATAAAATAAGAAAATGTGACGAGGTAAGTATCACCTAGATTGGTTCCTGCAGAACACGGGGTCCTGCAAGATGGTAGACAAATAAGATCCTGTAATCAAAAAATAATAGTAATAGTTCCTCATGATGAAGTACCAACAATGAGCCAAGTCTAAACTGAGGACTTTACATCCATCATCTCATTTAAGCCTCTGGAACAACCCGAGAGGTAGCCATTATTCTTATCTCTAGCGCACAGACGAGGAAACAGCTTTGAAGAGGATACATAATTCCTGTGGCAGAGCCAGGAACCAAGTGCAGCCTGCCCCACTGGAGAGAACTGCTTATCTACCCACTCTTATCAGTCAGGATGTTTTCAGCTCTAAGTCAAGAGTGCCTTCTTAGCAGTGGCTGCAACAATGAGAACACACATTGTCTTGCACAACCAAAAAACTAAAGTGCAGGGCTAGTCAATTAAGCAGCTCAGTGAGTCCCTTAGGAGCCCCGGTTTTGTTTTTTTGTGGTTTATTTGTTTGTTTGTTTGTTTAATCGTCACTCGAGGATATTTTCCATTGCTTTCTAGATAGAGTGGAAGGGAGAGAGGGAGGGAGAAACATCGATGTGAGAGAGACACATGAACTGGCTGCCTCCCGCATGACCCCCACAAGGACCGGGGATCAAACCTGCAACCTAGGTATGTGCCCTTGACTGGGAATCAAACCCACAACTCTTTCAGTCCGTGGGCCAGCGCTCTAACCGCTGAGCCAAACCAGCCACGGCAGGAGCCCAGGTTTTTTTGCATCTCTTCACCACAGCACATTGGCTTGTGTCCTCAGGTATAACCCCTCATGTTTACAAAAGGCTGCTGTGACTCCAGCCATCATGTCCTCACACAATCACATCAAAAAACAGGAAAGAAATTTCCGTTTGTGTGTCTCCTTTAGTCAGAAAGACTTTCCCAGAACTCCTCAGTAGACTTCTCCGCAGGTCCCACTGGCCAGAACTAGGGAATAGACCCTCGACCTTGCTGCAGAGAAGTCGAGGAAACTAAGCATTCGGTACTTCCAGCCTCCACAGTGGGAGGCAGGCATCCTGCTGACAAAGAGAAGCAGAGCGAACAAGGAATAGCCTCGGGATAAGTGACTCAGTGTCTCTGCCACAGTCACGGCCCTTAGTGACTCAGAGAGCACATTGGCAAAAGTCTGCAAAGTCCTACAGTAACTTTGTTTAAACCACTGATTCATAAACTACTTTGACAAAACTCTGTTTAAGAAATGTTAGACTTAGCCCTGGCCTGTTTGGCTCAGTGATTAGAGCGTCGACTCAAGGACCAAAGGGTCATGGGTTTGATGCCCCATCAAGGATGCATACCTGGGTTGTGGGTTCAATCCCCAACCCTAGTCAGGGTCGGTCAGGGTTGTGCAAGAGGCAACCAATCAATGTGTCTCTCACATCAATGTTTCTCTCCCTCTCTCTCCCTCCTTCCCTCCCTTCCACTCTATCTAAAAATCAATGGGAAAATATCCTCAGGTGAGGATTAACAGCAACAACAAAAAAGAAATGTTAGACATACTGTTTTTCACCTTTTCTAAGGTACACACATTTTCATATTTTGACATCTCTGAAAATGAAATGTGACTCAAAAGTACCTCCTTTCCTGCCCTCTCGTTCTGTGATTCTTCCAATTATCACCCCCACCACAGCCCCTCCAGACAGGTGGCTCAGACGTGCAAAAGGATACTCAGGAGCGTTCCTGTGCTCCCTGCCGACACACGCACCCAGCATACACGTACTCACTGAGTATGTGCTGCCAGGCAGGGGCACTGAGGACCCAGCAATGCGTAAGGCAGGCGCGAGCTCTCGTGCAGCTCTGGTCTCGAGGAGAAAACAGACTGTAAATAAGTAAACAGAAAACAGATGGTACATGAAGATTACTGCTACAGAGACAACAAAGGAGGCACTGGAGAGAGACGCAGAATGGAACTCATTCAATATTTACTGAAGGATGAAAAGGGAAAAGTGGGGGGGAGCACTCTAGGCACAGAGAACAGCACGTGCAAAGGCACTGGGGTGGGTAAGAGATTGATGTGTTTGAGAAACTAAAAGTGCCAGTGAAGACAGAGTAGAGCAAGTGAAACAAGTGCAGGGGGGGAGTCGGATTAGAAGAGATGGGAAGGCAAGCAGGGGGCCAGAACGTGCAGAGAATCTAGAAGGACACCTCGTATTCATTCAGCTGGTGAAGGTTGTCTGGCTTGCACTGTGGTTGTTAATATACCGATACAAGGAGAATCACTCTCAGCCTTGCTACTGAAGTGTGCTCCCCAACTAGCAGCATTAGAGTCACCTTGGAGCTGTAGGAAATGCTATATCTCATGTCCCGTCCCCAACCTACTCAATCCGACTCTGTATTTTATTTTATTATTATATGTTCATCCTCACCCAAGGATACTTTTTTCCCCATTTATCTTTAGAAAGAGTGGAGAGAGAGAGAGAAACATCGATGTGAGAGGGACACATCGGTTGGTTGCGTCCTGCACGACCCCAGCCAGGGCCAGGGACCGAACCACAACCGAGGTACATGCCCTTGACTGGAATTGAACCTGCAACACTCTAACCGCTGAGCCAAACCCGCCAGGGCCTGCCTCTGTATTTTAGTAAGATAATGATCATTAATATTGTAATGACTCACACACACAGTGAAGTTTGAGAAGCGCTGCCCTAGACCATCAACCTTTTATAGACAAACACAGCACCATTTTGTGTCAGGCTTTCTGAAGTTCTAGAAAGGAGCCCTTTCCCCATGCACATAGCCTTCATGGACACTGGGGGGCAATCTTACATTAATAAAGCAGAACACAAGTTAGGGGGGCAGAGAAATTACAGGAGGTTAGAGCATCATGTCAGTGCCGTGGCCACATTCAGCAGCCCAGGGAACAGGCCCACGGAGCGTCTGAGCAGATCAGGACAAGCAGCCAGCTCCCCTCCCCCGGCCAGAAACATGGGGCCAGCTGTGGACGGTGTCAGCAGCTGCGGCTAGCCACTAAACAGGGCCAGACGTGAAGCAGGGGGCTTAACATTCAAGGAGAACAAAGCACTGCTAAAGTTCATAGCAATTAACATGGCGGAATCACGCCAACTCTGTTAATGCCCCACGTGGAATTAAGTTTTAAATGCTTCATTCCACATCAGACTTTGAGCTGCTAAAATCCTTGACTGCACAGTGATAAACACCTGCTTTTATGTGTGTACCCACTACGAGCGGCTGCCAAGCCATTCAGAGCCCTGGAGCAAGGCTCTTTGAAATAAATAAAACCCAGAAGCCGTGAAGATGAGGGCCAGCCTCTCATTACCGCCCCAGGACCCATTTGCCTGTTCACTGGGCCTGGCCCAATTGGCACAGCAAGGGACACAGGCAGGAGAACGCCAGGCCTGCAGTCACCCCTGTGGCCAGTCCTCAAGGCAAATTAGGGCCAAGTGTGCGGATGACTCAGGTCACAAAAGTTAAGTGACATCTATGCCCGTGACCAAAAGCGCTTCCTTCTCGGGGGAACTATCCCGGTGTTTCCCAAATTTCAGTCATTCAAACATCGCCTTCACAATGTTCACAAGATCATTTCTTTACTCAGTGCTACTTCTATAACATGTTTCTTTCAATTAACTCATACCTGATGCTCCTATTTTAAGCAATATCATTGAAATGATGGGTTTGTAAGGACTGTTTATATTTTTTAAATACAAATCCATCACATCTTTAAATAAGATGGCCTGTGTGACATCTGAGTTGATCTCACATCTTCTCCAGCCGTCTGAACTCCACTCTTTGGGAAATATTCTCTTCGGTAGGAGTGGGAAAGGGAGAAGACGTGTATTCCCTCAATTTCTGCATGACGACGGGCCTTCGGGAAGCCCAAGGGAAAACTGGAGGAAGGTGCCGCAGAGAGAAGAAGACACAGCTACTCTGACAACCCAGCAGGGCCTGGCTAGCCCCGCCCCCTCAGGGAGCCAAGAGCATCATGGACACCGGCTGGTCCTGGGGCATCATGCCAGTGCCTTCCTCTGCTGCTCTGGGTGGCAAAGCCTTTGCCTTCGTGGGCACCTCCGTGAGCGTATAGCACTGTGGCTGTGCCTCACCATTTACCAGGCACAGGTTATAGGCTGAATTGTGGCCCCCTCCTTGCAAATTTATATATTGAAGCCCCCACCCCACCCCCATCCTCAGAATGTGGCTGTGTTTGGAAACAGGGCCTTTAAAGATATGATTAAGTTAAGATGAGGCTGCTAGGGTGGGCCTCAACCAATCTGACTGGTGTCCTGGACAAGCAGGAGCTTAGGGCACGGGGAGAGGCACCAGCCTAAGCTCACGGAGGTGCCCACGAGGCAACGGCTTTACCACCCAGAGCAGCAGAGGAAGGCACTGGCATGCCTACAGGGACGGGCACGGGGGGAAGACCACGTGAAGAGGCAGGAGAGGACAGCCCTCTGCAGGCCGAGGAGAGAGGCCTCGGAGGAAACCCACCCTGCTAACACCTGCTCCTCGACTTCCAGCCTCCAGAACCGTCAGGAAATAAATTCCCATTGCTTAAGCCACCCCGTCTGTGGTATTTTGTTATGACAACGCTAGCAAATTAATACACCACGTGAAATTAGACTTGCAAAATAGCAATGAGAGCACCTATTTCATAGGGTGGCGAGGACGGAATGGTGTGCTCAGGGACAGCACCTGGCTGCAGGGCAGGTGTGCCTGTGACCCCACAGCATCCCCCGCAAGCGTGGATCGGGTGGTCTACCCAGACCGTCAGTGCTCCCTCTGGGCTGCTGCTGGAACTACAGGGAGAGGGGCCTGCCTTTGTCGCCTGCACTCCGCTACAAAGGCATACAGGCCTGGACAGGTGAGGCCCCAGCCAGGCTGGAAGGGACTATGTGAAGGTGAAGACGCGACAGAGGAAGGTGGGAGACTGAGAGAAAGTAGCAACTGCTC